ACATTTATTTATTTTTTCTTAGTTCTTGGCGGACACAACATCTCTGTTGGCATGTGGTGCTACTGAGGATCGAACCCGGGCCGCACGCATGCTAGGCGAGCGCGCTACCGCTTGAGCCACATCCCCAGCCCCTATATTTCACATTTTGAGATGGTGACAGACTGTTTTCCAGAGTGGCTACACCATTTGACATCCCTACCAGCAGTGTACATTGGTTCCAGTTTCTCCAAATCACTACCAACTCTTGTTATCTTTTTTTATTGTAGGCATCCCAGTGTGTGTAAGTGATATTTCATTGTAGTTTTGGATTTCCCTGATAATTAATGATGTTGAACATTTTTCATGGATTGTTGTATATGTTCTTTGGAAGACTATATATTTAGCTCATTTGCCCAGTTGTTTGCCTTTTTATTATGGAGTTGTAATGTTTTTTCATAGTATCTATTATCAGATATACTTTATAAAAATATTCTCCTATTCTGTAGGTTGTCTTTTCACTTTCTTGATGGAATTGGAAAGTGTGAGTTCTCCTATTTTATTCTTTCCCAAAATGTTTTTGGCTATTCTGGGTCCTTTGAAAATCTATATGAATTTTAGAACCTATATGAATTTTAGAATCAATTTCTACAAAGAACTTATCTGGGATGCTGATAGGGAGTTCACTGGATATATACATATTTGGGTGGTATTGCTGTCTTAATGATGTTAAATCTTGGGCTGAGAATGTAGCTCAGAGGGAGAGTACTTGCCTCGAATGTGCAAAGCTCTAGGTTGGATACCCATCACCAAAAAACAAACAAACAGGGCTGGGATTGTGGCTCAGTGGTAGAGCACTTGCTTTGCATGTGTGAGACCTGGGTTCCATCCTCAGCACCACATAAAAATAAATAAGTGAAATAAAGGTAATGTGTACAACTATAACTAAAATATAATAAAAAAACCCCACAAAAATCTTGATATTAAATCTTCAGATCCATGAACATGGAATGTTTTTCTATCTATTTTAAATTAAATTTTTTTTCAACAGTGCTATATAGCTTCTTCCTTCTTTTGTTAAATTTACTCCTAAGTATTTAGATAGATATTTAGTGAATACCTGAAGGGTTTTCATGAGTAAAGAACTTAAGCTTTGGGCTGGGGTTGTGGCCCAGTGATAGAGTGATCACCTAGCATGTGCAAGGCCCTGGGTTTGGTCCTCAGCACCACATAAAAATAAATAAAATAAATGTATTGTGTCCAGCTACAAATAAAAAAAATATGTAAAAAAGAACATAAACTTATACTAAGTATGTAGAGTCGTGATTTTATTTTGTTAGTTCCAATTCATGTTTTTTTACTTATTTTATCTTTTAGCCATGACCTGGGTAGAGATCATCAGATGGTTGAATTGTGGTGGAGTGAGGGACTGCTAATGCTTCTGAATGAATCATAACCTCTTTATTTCTTTATTGTAAAAATGGCATCTGTTGTACAATTCCATTACCAAATAACTTACAGTAAGAACTATTACTCATGTCCTTTCACATATTTCACTTACTGAGTTTTTAAAACCAAGTTATATGTATAATTTTTAAAATAAAATGAGTTCATCTATGAATCTTTTGTATCCTGCATTTTATTTTGTTTTTACTACTGGAAATTGAACCCAGGGGTGCTCTACCACTAAACTATATCCCCAGTCATTTTTTTTTTTTTTTTTGAGACAGGGTCTCACTAAGTTGCTTACAGCCTCCTAGCTAAGTGGCTGGGGCTGGCCTTGAACTTGCTATCCTCCTGCCTTAGCATTCCGAGTCACTGGGATTACAGGTGTGCACTGCCATACCTGGCTGGATCCTACTTTTTTATCTTCACAAATTATAGAAATTTTCATGTAACATATAAATCTACTTTACTTTTTAAATATTTTATTTATTTGCATAAAGATATGGCTCATATCTTTTTATATATTGGACACAAGAATAATGACTAACAATTATTAGAGTTCCTTGTATGTTGAATATAGAGCTAGATGGGGGTGGGAGGAAAATGTCTTTTAGGTGAAATCAGTTCTCTGTGATATAAACCCAGGACATCTGACATTATTAACTTCTTATATTTTGCATATTTGTTGAGATCCAGAAGATGCAGATTCATTTTAATATGTGGAAATATGTTACTTTGAATATTATAACTATATACAAGAGTATAATTCGATTTGCTAGATGCTTTGCATACCTTCTCTTATAGAACTCTCAGGAATGCCTAGGACTACAGCCATCACAGAGCTATTGTTTTTAGTATCCAGAAAGCGAGCTCTTGTTTCTTGAAAGTAGAGAATTAAGCTAAAAAAAAAAAAAAAAATCAGTCGAGGGGGAAAAAAACCCTTATATTTATTAAAGGACATTTGCAGTATACTTATGTCTTTCAAAATGCTCTTCTAATTGTAATGTACATACATTTGGGTAGTGAAACTTTTCAGGACTAAACAATGTGCTTTTTCTCTTGAGAACAAAGAGTGTCTTCTGATCTTTGTTAATGTACATATGTATATTTAGCACAAGCTTTACAGTCTAGAACAATGAACTTTTTCATTTGTAGCAAGAAATGCAGGGGAAAAAAGCAAATCTAAGTCTCAGATGTCAACATGAATCTATTGGAATTATGAAAATATGTGAGATTAGGCAGGACACACAAGCAGAAAGAATATAGATAGAATCCTGGAATATTGTTTACTAAACCTCTGATTTTAGAGTAAAAAGTACACTTCAGATTAATATCACAGTAAGAATAATAGTGAGATTTTTTTATATATTCAACCATTGTTTTGGCTATTGTGCATGTACACTATGTGAATTCTGTTTGGGTTTATTTTAGATTTGAGTTGAATCTTTCACTTTACCATAAAGCAATGCTGTTTGTTGCTACTGATCAATGTCTTATATGATCACTTTTAGTAAAATCTACCTTAGTATGAAAATAAATTAGGAAACTATTTCCTGGTTAGTTTATTTGTTTTTATAGAAAATAATAGCAGCTTATTTGTTATTTATAGAATATTAATATCCATAGTCAATTTTTTTGGATATATGTGGATCAAATCATCCGAAACCAAGAGAGAATTAGTTGTAAGTTTCAATTGATACTGTAATTCAAAAGCAAATTTATTTTGTAATGAGAATATTTTGTCATCAGTGAGAGTAAGTAGACATAACAGGTGGGTTTGCTTCTTAACACAAAGCCAAATCTGTTTCCATTTCAGTGCCTTGTCCTTATGGGTCAGTCCTGGCTGAAGAAATTTGGTTACTATAAGATTATCTTAACCTCTTTCTACCTAGAAGGAGTGGTCTCCATTGTCATGTTACTTCTGGGACAGGATTACTATTACTGTTTGGCTTTTTATCTCACTATTATCAAGTAAGTAAATGCCGATAACAGTGAACATCATTTTTAAAAAATATTTTTTTAGATGCATGGACGTTTATTTTGTTCATTTACTTATATGTGGTGCTGAGAATCAAACCCAGTGCCTCACACATGGTAGTCAAGTGTTCTACCTCTGAGTCACAGCCTCAGCCCCCAGTGAACATCTTTGATGGGATTCCGGTGTAATATTCACTTCTAGGCTGGATCATTGAATCTTTCTACCAAATTGTTTGAATGCTTGGTTTTTGTTTGTTTGTTTTTAGTACAAGGGGTTGAACCCAGGGTGCTTAACCACTGAACCACATTCCTATTCCTTTTTGTTTTGAGACAGGGTCCTGCTAAATTGCTGAGGCTGGTTTTGAATTTGGAATTCTCCAGCCTCAGCCTCCCAAGCCACTGGGATTACAGGCACATGCCACCACTCCCAGTTTAACAGTTTTTTTTTTTTTTTAAAGAGAGATCACACATTGGGTTGGGGATATAGCTCAGTTGGTAGAGTACTTGCCTTGCATGCACAAGGCCCTAGGTATCCCACACTATTTTTTGTAGTAAAATTAAGTTTCTTCTTGGTGACCTATTAAAATGCAATATTGAGTAAATGCTATTATCAGATTCAAAGAAGCTGAGATTCTATTCCTCCTTCAACTCTTTCTCCTATTTCTTCTTTTTTTCTAATTTTTGATTAACAAGTAATAATTGTACCTATTTAATGGGCTTCAGTGTGAGATTTCAATACATGTATAAAGAGGGTTCACTGATTAAATCCAGTCTTCCTCTACCCACATTTTTCTGGATGGCTAAATAACATTCCATTGTGTATGTCTTCCAAATTTTCTGAATCATTCATCCACTGATGGATACTGAGGCTGATTTCATATCTTAGCTTTGTGAATAGTGTTGTAAGAAATTAAGGTGTGAGGAATTTCTTTAGCATGCTGATTTTATTTCCTTTGAATATAAACCCAGAAGGGAGATAACTGGATTATATGCTATTTCTAGTTTTAGGTTTTTGTTTGTTTTTGCAATGAGGTCTTGCTGTATTGGCTAGGCTGGCCTCAAACTTGCAAACCTCCTGCCTTAGCCTCCTGAGTAAGTGGGATTACAGGCTTTTTCCTGCCCAGCTTTATTTTTAGTTTTTTTTTGAGGAGCCTTCATGCTATTCTCCATAATGACTGTTCTAATTCACATTCCCACCAGTAGCAAATGAAATTTCCTTGTTCTACACATCCTCACCATCATTTATTTCTTATGTTTTTGATGATAGCTTTTCTAACTGAGGTAAGAAAATATCTCATTGTAGTTTTGATTTGCATTTCCCTGATGACTAATGATTCTGAACCTTTTTTTTTTTCATATATTTGTGGCCATTTGTATTTCTTTTTTTAAGACGTTTCTAGTCAGATCATTTGCTTATATTTTAATTGGATTGCTTGGTTTTTGTGTTGTTAAGGTTTTTTTTTAGTTCCTTATATATTCTGGATATTATTCCTTTGTCAGATGAATAGTTGGCAAATATTTTCTCCTATTCTGTGACTTTTCTCTTTACTGTTGATCCTTTCCTTCCTTTCTTTTCTTTCTTACTGTGCAGAAGAAGCATTTTAGTTTGAAGCAATCCCATTTGTCTATTTTTGCTTTTGTTTCCTGTGTTTTTGATGTCATATCCAAGAAGTCATTGTCTTGAAATGTTTCCTCTATGCTTTCTTGTACAGTTTTATGTCTTACACTTAGCTCTTTGTCCATTTTGAGTTGATTTTTTTTTTTTTTTTTGGTTCCAGGGATTGAATCCGGGAGTACTAAATAACTGAGCCACATCTCCATTCCTTTTTATATTTATTTTGAGACATAGTCTCACTAAGTTGTTTAAGGCCTCACTAAGTTGCCAAGGCTGGCTTTGAACTTGTGGTCCTCATGCCTCAGCCTTGAAAGCGCTGGGATTACAGGCATGTGCTACTGAGTCTGACTTGAGTTGAGTTTTTACACGAGGTAAGAGTGAGGGGTCAAGCTTCAGTCTTCTGTAGGTGACTATCCAGATTTCCCAGTACCATTTATTAAAGAGGCTGTCTTTTCTCCAACATGTGTTTTGGGTGCCTTTGTCAAGAATCAGGGGCTGGGGTTGTGGCTCAGTGGTAGAGTGCTTGCCTCGCACGTGCGAGATCCTGGGTTCAATCCTCAGCACCACATAAAAATAAATAAGTGAAATAAAGGTATTGTAACCAACTACAACCAAAAAATAAATAAATAAATATTTTAAAAAATAAAAAAAATATCAGCTGACAGTTCCTCCTATTTCTGCAACTTCTACTCTTCCCCTGGCACCCAATCCTCCAGACATCTTGAATTCAACGGGTCCAAATCAAGGATCTAGCCCCTATCTGCTCTTTTTCACCTTTGTTCACCATTATGGGAAATGGTTTCACCATCTGTCTAGTTGCCCAAATTTGGGACTGAGAAGTTGTTTCCTTCTCTCTCTGAATTTTGACACCTCCATTTAACACCTCAATCTACATCATTGGCAGACTCATCTCTAACACATCCTGAATCCATCCTTCCCTACTCATTCAGCTCAGGTCTCAATGTCACTTATATGGAATGCTGTTGTAACCTCCAGTTGTCCCCATTGCCTCCAGTCTCTAGTCCCTCTAACCCCTTCTCCCAAATTGCATCAGAATAACATGTCATCCTTTTGCTTAACAAGCCAACTGTTTTCATGATATATTTGAATGACATAAAGTCCTTTTTATGCAGGCCTTCTTTATCTTTCCATCCTCTTTTCTTGTTATTCATCCATTTACACAGTATTCTCCACCATATGGAAAGACTTTGAAATTTCTGGTTCAGACACCTCTGTGTCTTACAAATGTAGTTTCCTGTGTCTGGAAAGTTGTTCCTCATTTCTTGCCTGACTCTCTTCTAAAGGGTTTTTTTGTTTTTGTTTTTCCTGGGGTTTGAATCCAGAGGTGCTTAACCACTGAGCAACCCGCCCCCAATCTTATTTTTGTTTTTTATTTTGAGACAGGGTCTCACCAAGTTGCTTAGGGACTTACTACATTGCTGAGGCTGGCCTTGAACTTAAATTGCTGGGATTATAGGTGTGTGCCACCATGCCTGGCTCTTGTTTACTTTTTTAAACTTAAACTTTTCTCTCCATTTTATTCTGTTATCATAATCAAAATGTTATGTGCCTATTTACAGTTCTTAACTTATCCTGTTTTTATATTAAGAGAAAGCAGATGAAATTCCCTGGAAAGTTCTATTCCTTAGAATCTATTTGTAACTTGAGCAGATTTAATAAACAAGTAATTATTAAGGAATGGGAAAAAGCATAAAAACCATTAAAAAATCCTATGTGGAAGTAATTACTTTTAGAAGAGAATTGCATATATTTGAGGGACAGAATTATGTATTTAATATATCTTTACTTTTATAGTATCCAGTTTCACTTTTTTCCTTCTTGCAAACCAAATGCCAAGTTTCATTTGATGTGTTTTTTAAAATAACAAAATCTGTGCCTTCTAGTTGTAAAATGTTCATATGTGTACATTATTTTAATTTTTTTTCTAGGGTGATTGTGCAAGCTTCTTTTTGTTTATTTAACCTGCCACTAGCTGACCTGATCCATGAAGATTTACTGAAGTTCAATAGGCAGTAAGTATATTTATTCAGATATTAGCTATAAAAGTGTCAGATGCAGGTAGGACCTATCGGAGTCGCTATATCTCAGTTATATTAATACTGTAAAACACATACAAGAGAGATAGTCATAAGAGGCATCATTAGGAATTGGGGAGTAGAATATCATAGGATATTCCTATTTGTTTGCCCTGCACCATTTCCCTCCACTTTTGAAAGGGCATCATGATATTTATCCCTCAGGTTCACACAGCCAATGTTACAACAGGGTTAAAACTCAGAAGTAAATCAAAATCTTAGTTAGCTATAGGTTCTACATAGTGCCATACACACAAGACAGTAAGGTAAAGTGACCTGTGCTCAGTGACGTTCTAAGAATTAAAATTTTAAAAATCAAGCTTCATCGTATCCTTTCTTACTTGAAAAAGTCTTAAGCTGATGATAACATGTTTTGTTCTTTGGTATGATTATAAATGTTTTAGGTCAGATATAAAATTCTCTTGGTTGACAAATATTTTCGGATATATACCTCCTTTTGCATTCTAAAGAGGAATGAATTATGTTACAGCCTTTTTTTGTTAACTTTGTAGAAACATATTGCACAGTCTCTCTCTTTTTTAAGGTAACTGAAATGGAGGAGAGCTTTGCCCACTGCTTGTTCTCCTCTTTATATGTGATTCCTTTCCTGTTTCACAGTCCTGTTGCTGTCATAATCATAGCAATGAGTGAGCTGATGAGTGCCTTACAGTTCAGGACCATATCTTCAGTCTAATGACCTTCATGTTTAGAAAGACTGAGAAGACTTTTTGTTTTTCCTTAAAAAGATGATTAAGTGCCAGGAGCAGTAGCTCACGCCTGTAATCCCAGCAGCTCAGGAGGCTGAGGCTGGAGGATCGCAAGTTCAAAGCCAATCTCAGCAATTTAGTGAGGTTCTAAGTAACTCAAGGAGACCTTGTCTCTAAATAAAAATATAAAAAAGGGCTGGGGATGTGGCTCAGTGGTTAAGCACTTCTGGGCTCAATCTGCGATACAAAAAAAAAAAAAAAAAGAAAACATGTTAACAAACAGCAATTTTAGCAAATGTTTTACACCTCTCAATTTCTCCTCCTCCTCCTCTTATTCTTCCTCCTTCTTATTTTTATGTCCCAGAGATCAAACCCAGGGGCACTTAACCTCTGTGCCACATCTACTGCCCTTTTTTATTTTTTGTTTTGAGACAGTGTCTCCCTAAATTGCAAAGGGCCTTGCTGAATTGCTGAGGCTGGCTTTAAACTTTTAATCCTCCAATAACAGGTGCATGGCACCATGTTTGGCTCTTTTTTTTCTTTCTGTTTTTTTTTTTTTTTTTTTTGGTGCTGGGGATTGATCTGAGGGCCTTACACAAGCTGAGCATGCGCTCTACCACTCAGCTATACCCTTAGCCCTCAAATTCTCTTTGAATGAGATACCCTACAAATAAATGAAACATTTCAAACAGTTGGAAAGAAAAGGGCACCGACATATGCCAAATGCCAGTGTGCATAAGCATTTACATCTAATAGCACCCTTGAATGATAGATAAGATTGACTTTACAGATATGACCTATGTGTCAGGCAATGTGGAAAAGCTGGGGATACAGTTCAGCAGGTCTTGTAAGAGACTCTCCACTTACCTGATACTCTTTGTTCCTCCTAAACAATGCCTACTTATGTGCATGTATGCCATATGTTGGTGACCGAATGGCTATTTGAGGATACCTGTGCTTTCCTGCTCTGATGATTCAATTCTACCCTTACCAAGAATTAGTGCTTTTTATTTTAAACCTGTTAATGTCAGATGTGCTTGTAATTATAATTACAAGGTTTAATTACTCTTAGATTTTATAAACTTAAGAAATACAGGTATAAAATGAAAACCTTTAAGTGATTTCTTTCTTTCTTTTTTTTTTTTTTTTTTTTTTTTGCATGATCAGCCAAATGTCCTGATCATGTCAGAGTGGAAAGTTTTCTACTATAATGACAAAACACATGTGGCCCCTGCCCTCATGGCACATACAGTTTTGTGGGGGGAGACAGACTGTAGTTATATTACCATATGATTATAATTATCCTAATTTTTAGGAAACTTATACTATTCATGGATTAACTTTTCCAAGTTAACATAATAGCTGACTGAAGAACTGGGAATCAAATCCAAGTTCTTTCTATCAGGTCAAACTTCCTCCAATTCTCTGGCCTTGATTTATTTATTTTCTTTCTTTCTTCCTTTCCTTTCCTCCCTCCCTTCCTTCCTTCCTTCTTTCTCTCTTTCTCTTTTTCTTTCTTTCTCCTTTCTTTTTTCTCCTCCTTATTGGCAAAGTTTTCATCACCAATTAAAACATGAAAAGATTTAATTTTGTTCAGTCAATGCACTTGATTTATTTTATATGACATCATTATTAAAAAACTACGTGGCAGGAATCCATTAAAGTAATACTTAAGGAAATTTGGGCAGAAAAACTTAGGTGTGAATATCAGTTCTTTCATTTACACATCGTGTGACTGTGGATGTTGTCATTTGTTCTCCCATCTCTAAAAGAGGAGGGTGGCAAAAGCTTTCTTATGATTGCTGTGGGGCTTAAATTAACCAATATGTGGAGCTCACTTACTCAGTACAGTGCTCACTTACTGAGCATGTAAGAAGGCAGCAGCTGTCTTCTCTTTGCATCTTAACTATGAGGCTAAGATTTTACAATTACTCTGCTTTTTCTATTTTTGTTTACTCAGGGTCAGGAGGGACTTCCTAGATGAAGATGTCCTTGATACATAGACATATACGTATGAACTTATGTGTATAAAAACATACACATGTGGGCCAGGTCTGGGGCTCCATGGTGGAGTGCTTGCCTCACATGTGTGGGGCACTGGGTTCGATCTTCAGCACCACATGAAAATGGATGAATGGGGGGGGTTGTGTCCATCTACAACTGAAAAAGAAAGAAAGAAAGAAAGAAAGATACACATTAATCTGTGTGTGTGTTAAAGACCCATGTAATCTTTGTCTTCCAGATTGTCCCTTTGCTCAATGATTTTTGGCATCTATGCTCTGTTTACCAAGCCTGCTCAGTCTTTAGCTCCCATGGGGGTGCTGTGTAAGCTAAAGCAGCATGAATATGGGGACCCAAACAGCAGGTAAAATAACAACCTTTGAAATCACATGAAAGAAATATGAAAGCAAACTCTGTTGTTATCTTGCACTTTGGATGTTGTTAGCTATGAACTCATGTATCTCAAGTAAGCTATGACCGTGAATGCTGAAGGAACTTTATGAAGAGCATCTTTAAGTATTGGATATTATTTAAGTTATATGCACTACATATGTCAATATAATTTGTACTAAATTACATATTGATGACCTTATCTAAGTCATTCATTCATTATTTCATTTCACCAAAGTTTTTAAGGACTTGCTCTTATATGCCAGGTACAAAGGTACTGGGAATACAATATGAATAAGGAGACTTTAAGGGGCTCTACAGATTACAAAAAACCGTGATAAAGGGCCCCATTAGAGGCATAATGGGGCACTGTGGTAATGCAGAGAAGAGGTCCCCTCCTCAGTCTGCCCAGGGAGCACTTCACAGGAGTTGGGGTTCTGGAGCTGGGTTTGGGTGACTGAGTTGGATTTCCCCTCCTGAACACAGATGAAACAAAAACAGCATGGTAAATATCAGGAAGCACGCATGCACTCTCAATCAGCTGTCCATTTATTCACCCCATAAATATTATTGAGAGCCCCCCAAGCCCTAGACTATGACACAGCAGGGAGGTCTCTGTCCTCCAGAGGGAGGGAGGAGGACTTAAGAAAAACAGAGTGCTTTATATAATGATCAGTTCTTTGGTGAGAAATAAAGATCGGGGAAACTAAGAAGGGTTGGAGAAAGCTGCATTTTAAAAGAGGAGAATGGAGAAGGCCCCACCAAGTTGACATTTGAAAGACCTGGAGAAACCTGGGAGGGAACCATGAAGATTCTCTGGGGGGAAGTGTTCCTGGCAGGAGATGCAGGTGGCAAGGCTCTGAGATACAGCATGCCTGGTGCTCTAGGTCTAGCAAGGAGGCCAGTGTGCTGAAGCTCAGTAAGCAAGAGAGGAAGCCATGATATGGAGAGAAGCCAGGTCACACAGGGCCTTGTAGGGCCCTATGGTCCTGCTTTGTTACTTTGGTTTCACTAGGAGATGGATGGTGGTGATTGATTGACTAGACCCATTTATAGAGCAGTTTTAATTCATAACAAAGTTGAGCAGAAAGTGCAAAGTTCCCATATATCCCCTAAGTAACCTCACTTGTATCACTTCCCTCCTTATCAGTGTCCCTTATCAGAGTGGCACTTTTTTACAACTGATGAGCCTACATGGACACATCATCCTCATCCAGTTCATAGTTTATGCTAGGGTTCACTCTTGGAGTTGTGTGTTTTATGGGTTTGCACAGATGTATCATGGCATGTATCAACTACTATAGTATAATACAGAAAGAATATTTTCACTTCTCTAGCAGTCTCCTGGGCTCCACCGATTTCTCTCTTTCTTCTCACTGACACCTGGCAATCCCTGATCTTTTTACTGCCTCAATAGTTTGGCCTTTTCTAGAAGTCATATAGTTGGAATCATATAGTATGTAACTTTTTCAGATTGGTTTCTTTCACTTAATAATATGCACTTAAGTTTCTTGTATTTCTTTTTGTGGCTTGATAGTTCATTGGTTTTTAGTGCTGCACAATATTCCATTATCTGGATGTTCCATAGTTTATACATTCATTTACTGGAGGGCATCTTGGTTGCATACATGCTTTGGAAATTGTGAATAAAACTCCTATAAAATTGGTGTGTACAAAGGTTTTTGTGTGAACATAAGTTTTTATTTCATTTAGATTGATGCTAAGGAGCATGTTGGCTGAATTATAAATAAGAATATGTTTTCTTCTGTAAGAAACTGCCAGACTGTCTTCCAAAGTGGCGGTACCATTTTGCATTCCCACCAACAATGAATGAGAGTTCTTATTGCTGCACAACTATACCAGCAGTGTCTTTCTCAGAGCACAAGTTTTTAATCTTCAATTTAGCTCATTATTTTTTTTCTTTACTGGATTATACCTTTGGTGTTGTATCTAAAAAGCCATTGCCACACCCAAAGTCACCTAGATTTTCTCCTATGCTCCATTCAAGGTGTTTTGTAGATTCAGGTTTTACATTTAGGTCAGTGATTCATTTTGAGTTGGTTTTCATTGCCCAAAATCACGAGCCACTCACAGCCTTGTAGATTCAAACAGCAATTCTTTATTCCTGAACTCACACCGGCACTTTACACACACATTCTGAGGAAATCCACATTCTGGGCAAAATCCACTTCTGAATCCCAAATACTCTGGGAGCGGGCATGCCTGAGGCAGCAGGATACGCCCTATTCCCAGCAGGGTACACCTTAAACCTGGAACTGCCCTAAACCCAAGGAGCGGGATACTCCCTATTCCCAGCAGGATACACCCTAAACCTGGATCCGCCCTAATCCAGTAGGATCCTCCTTAAACCCGGATCCACCCTGGTCCTTGAGCAGGGTCACCTTTCTCAAACATACATGCAATGTCACTGCAAATGTCCAAGGCAAGTCCATGTCCACAAGTCCTTCCTCTGAGCAACATGGGGTATGCTGGCAAGGAAATTTCGATGTGTCATTCCTACTTGGCAATGGCTCTCAGCATTTCATGAAGAGTATAAGGTTTGTTTGTGTCTGTGTTTGTGTGTGGATGTCAATTGTTCCAGCATCATTTGTTGAAAACACTATTTTTCTTCATTGTATAGCCTTTGCTTCTTTTTTTCAAAGTTAAATTGATTATATTTATTTGGTATACTCTGGTCTTTCTTCTCTGTTCCTTTGATCTATTTGTTTATTTTTCACATATAAGACTTCTTGATTACTGCAGCTTTGTAGTAAGTCTCAATGTAGGGTAGTGTCAGTCCTCCACCTCTGTTCTCCAATAATGTCTACTAGCTTCTTTGTAAAAACTTTAGAATTAGTTTTCAATACTTACAAAATACCTTCCTGGGATTTTTGACTGGGATCTATAGATGAAGTTGGGAAGAACTGATATCTTAAAATATTGCTTTCCTATCCAAGAACATGGATTATGTCTCCATTCTGTTAGCCTTCTTTCTTTCACTGGAGTTTTGTAGTTTTCCTCATATAGACCTTGCATGTATTTTGTTATACCTAAGTATTTCATATTTGGGGGCACTATTATAAATAACATTATATTTTGAATTTAAAATCACAGTTGTTCAGGGGAGAGATTGACTTTTTTATGTTAATCTTGGATTTGACAACCTTGTTATCATAATTTCTTAGTCCCAGGAAGTTTTGTTTTGTTTTGTTTTTGTTTTTGTCAATTCTATAGGATTTTCTACATATGTGAGGAATTATTTAATTTTATTCTTACAACTTTTCCTTCCAGAAGGCTGGGGATATAGCTCAGTTGGTAGAGTGCTAGCCTCACATACACAAGGCCCTGTGTTCAATTCCCAGCACCACAAAAATAAAGAAAGAAACAAAAATAAAAAACAATAAACTATTTTTCCTCCTAGAATTTTATTTTGAATGTTTTCAAAAATAAAAAAAAATGTTTAAAAGTTGTATATGATCACATCTTGATTCAACTGTTTACATTTTACTACATTAGTTTTATCACATTTATCAACACATCTACCCTATATTTAACATTCAAACCCTCTTGTTTTATTCTCACAACTTTTCATTATAAAAAATTTTAAATACACAAAAAAGTTTAAAGAAAAGCACAAGAAAATCCATATAGTGACTCTTTAGATTTGATAGTTGTTAACAGTTTTTGCATCTTTGCTTTATCTGTGTCTATGTGGGTGTGTATATGTGTATGTCTTTTGTTTTCTGAACCATTTTAAGGCAAGTTGCAGATATAATGGCGTGCTACCCCTGATAATTGAGCATGCATCTCCTAAAAGAATTATGATTGGAGAATTTGGGGCAGAGTAATGACCTGATTCGACTTACTTTTTAATAGCTTTCCTGATTGCTGATGTGTTCAGCGTACACTGAAGGGAGTTGGGGGAAAACTCAAGAACCTGTAGGTTAGTGACAGGTGTTTTATCAGGTTCCGTGGCTGCCAGAGGAAGTCTAGGCTGTTCCTTCTCCATGCTCTCACATGGATCAATGAATAAGCTATAATAGAAGATTAAAGGCCTTGAATCTTCTACCCGAGTCTGTTCCTGTCCCCTTTCAGCCATCTTGATTTTCTTTTCTTTTTTCTTTTTATTTTTTTGGGGGAGTGGGGGATGATACTGGGGATTGAACTCAGGGGCACTCGACCACTGATCACATCCCCAGCCCTATTTTGTATTTTCTTTAGAGATAGGGTTTCACTGAGAGGCTTGGCAAGTCTCTCTTTTGCTGAGGCTGGCTTTGAACTCACACAGTCCTTCTGCCTCTGCCTCCCAAACTGCAGGGATTACAGGTGTGCATCATTGGCTTGGCCCACTGTGACTTTCTACTACAATACTGCTTGCAGCTTTTAATGCTACCTGGACTTTGAGCAGCTTTCCCAATGCAGGTGGAAAACAGTCATATAACAGATGGAGAAACTGGGACTGAGAAAGAACTCTTTCACATTCTATGGAGGAAATGTGGTCCAGAGCAGTCCACACTCACTTCCTTCTCATTTAGTCACACACGTTTACTCAATTGCAACTTTTGTGGCTCTCATCAGGGATCACCACATTCTGTTGATTCTAACTCCTTAACCTCAGTGTGAGTGTTGAGAGCCACAGTTTAGTCAGTCGGAATGACTCCTGGCATTTTGCCAGAGGGAATGGTTGAAAGGTGACCCTGCTCTGGAATAGGGCGGATCCTGCTGCCTCAGGCGACCGCTACTTTGGAGTTCCCCTTGAGTTCTCCTTGCTGTTTGAACCTACAAGGCTTTGTGGCAGCTCAGTTAGCCCAGCCACACTGCGGCATGTGAGTGTCAGTGTCCTCTTCACTTTCCCTGTTAGAGTGCTTCAGCTCAGACCCACACCAGAATTTCTCATATACAATCACTCTTTGGTTTTCAATTGGTCTTCCATTGTTTCTTTCTCTGTTACTTGGCTAACCTCCCTTCAAAGAA